CCCTTTTGCCTACTTTAGAACAATATATATTTTACCCCCCTTTGATAGTTTTCTCTACAACTAAGAGACCTGATCAATAGTGAACTTCTCTAACTTTCGATAGAATACGCTCTACTAAAGAGTAAAATCGTTCTGTAGGATTAATTTCCGTAAGGCAGTTATTTTCACGGGCCAATTTCGGGTTCTTTTAGGTGTACAAAGTGCACTTCGCGATCTAACTCAACTTCCCCACCTACTAACTTTATAACGATATATATACTAAACAAACTATGTAAATAAAATTAATGTTAATCATTTAATTAACAAGTGTACAAATGTATATAAATTTTACAGCGTGGCAGAGTATAATTAACGCGAAGTGTTTACCCTTAGTTTTAGTAGTATTTTAGGGTTCATGCAGTAGCGGTGGTATAGTACTATACGCATCCAAGGAAGGCAGCTTGGGGATTATGAAGTTTCAGTGGAATCAAAGAGAAGGAAAAGGAGTAAGCGGTCAGAATTGTGAAATATATTATTCGTAGAGCTACTGTTGGTTTTTTTGCTATCCTTTGAGAGCTGGGTGATTGGATTTATCATCTTTTGATTGGTCCAACACCACTTAGCGGGCTTGAAATATTATGATGTTCTTCACTCGTTCTCTATGCCAAACTTCTCCCCACCAGCTGAAGAAAGTAGTTTTCTTTAGGTAGCTGACTTTAGGGTTGCACCATACCCACAAGGCCGAATCCATAGGAGACTTTAGAAATTCTGATAGAACCAAACAAATTCAACTGACTGCATTTTTCAATAAAGCAGGCTACAGGTCGGATTCAGTTGATGGTTGACTCTCCAATCTTTCTTTCTGAAGGCAGATGTAGAATTTCTGTCCAATGAGCATATCATAGCCAAGTAACCAGACAAACATGGGGAGCAGTGGAAGTGCCTCCAGAGGGAAATATACCGCCGGTAGGACACTAAAAACCCCGTTGTATTTACGAGAGTTCGATCTCCATTCTAGGAAAGGTCCATTAATGTTCTTTCGTCTTATCCCTTCCAGACTCTGTATGGCCAAAGAAGATGTGCGCTCAAATTAGAGTAGAAGTATCCACTTTTACAATATCTTTCCCATATAATAAAGCAGCTTAGCCAACCAGGTCGCGAGTTCAATCATTTGAGCCTAAATTTAACCTAATTATCGCATCCTCTTGTATTTACTTTGAGTGCATGTTTTCCTTCTAACATGCAGAGTCTGGAAGGAATATTGAGACTGGCACAAGCAACTTAATTGTCCTAGTATATACCTAGAATAATTTGAAGTAAAACGTGCTAATCATTCAAACGCATTAGCATAACTAGTTTGAATGTATAAGGCTTCCAGAATAATGATACCTTGTCTTGTGAGTTACCTAGAGCAATTACCACGCCTTCTACCATTTTAAGGTAATTTGGCATCCTTCATTAGGTGAAGATCAACTTATCTTTCGAGATTGTCTAGGAAAAGATTTCCAAGAACCCGGGCATTTGATATGATCACTCAGATGCTGACGAAAGGCAGAAGAATAGGATGGCTCTTATCACCGTTACAATAATTGTTACAATAATTGTTACAATAATTCTCTTTTGCGAAAGTACGATTTCAAGACTTCGTCCAAAGAGGACAAACACCGGTTAATATATATGAAGCTTGGCTATTATTAATTTCTAATAGTCTTACAAGGATTTTCCGAGTCTCAATTTGAACTTCACGACTCAAAGTGAAGTTACGCAAGTGAGACGTTCGGTCCTAGATTTGCAGGCAATGCATGTGCTTGAATAAAAAAGTTATGTGTCTTCTTCCTGTACTGAATGAGTGTAGTTATGGTAAGTTGGAACACCAATACACACAGCTTCCAAGGCGATGTTAATACAAGCATTCTTCTTTTTACAAAATACTCTTCCGACCTTGATAGTACCCTCTGCACTTTGACCCGCACAGATTGAAAGCCGATAAGTGGGACCCAATGACCCGTTTGGTATCTTTAGCAAATGCAGATGGCCGCCAAGGAGACGCGACAACTCCACTGCCTTGGCTCGCCTAAGAAAGGGGGAAGTGCCTGGTGACTGACACGTGACAGAAATATGAGTAACACCTTTTGACGTGACAGAACTCACGGAATTCCAGATGCCTTTTTGACTCAGACACCTATCCATAAGTTCGCTCGGTGCTATATTGCCGTCACGATACTGACAGGCTATGGAACATATTCACTAATCACTTTTATGCATGCTGAAACATTCTTACCGTAATCTGCCAAGTAAGACAAAACATAATTCGACCTGAGAAGCCCATTCCCCTAAAACTCGAGTCAGTGTTTCCTGACAGCTCAGAAAAGGCTGGACTTCGTAACATCGTTGTGGATATTCGGAATGCATTAAATTCTACAGCAGGACCACTAAACTATGTGGATACCAAGGACCAGGTTCAACACCAAAAATCAATTCGCATCTAGTGTTGTTTCAGATCAGCTTGAAATATCTTTGACAACCGCGTCGATGCACTTTTTGACGCATTTCAAATCATCCTCATGTTCAAGATCTTTCTCTGTGAGAAACTTGCTGATCCAGGACTCCATCCACTCTTCCTTTGGAAAGGATCCTCCCAAACTTCCTAGCTCATTCCTCAGTTCTTCAATAAACCTTCCGATTCAAAACTGCCAACCCAACTGTCTCCCGAAAGACAAACTCATGTAGACCCAGAGGCCAAGATCAACCAGGAAGCTATATCCCAAAATCATTGCATATAAGCTTTGATAGATCCCCTCTGTGTGACAAAATCCCACACCATGATATCCTTTAGGATTGACAAGGTAATAAGCAATTCGCAACTTGGTCGAGTAGCCGTCATAATGTTCTCGGTGAAAAGCAGCCAACCTATATTCATTTTCCTCGATATCATTCTTCAGCCATCTCATCTTTGCATCCCCAGATATTTTCCAATTGACTCTTTTGTATCCCGATATTACCTCAGAATATCCCCGAAGCAAGGCGTGTAGATAAAGGACAACATAAATCCCAAAGATTGCCATAATACGTTTGTCGGTGAGCGGTTTTTTAAATTGCCAGTCAGGAGGCCAAGCGAATGATAAATCGAAGTCGAAGTATTCCTCATCTTCTGCTTTGTAAAGGCCAGGTTTCGTAATACTACAGAAAACCATAAAATGAATAGCCAGGACGACCATTTTAAAATTACCAAAGTTTTGGGTGCTTCGAGAGTGGCGACAGGCCGGACAGGCCCTATCTTCTAGGTTCCTCATCTAGGAGCGAAGGGTTGCAATAAGGGCATTCAGGGCATTTCATTTTGCTTCTTGACTGGCAGTAGTTGTGTTATATAGCTGTCTTGTCTTTGCTTCCTTAAAAAAGTATATAGAGTATGAGAAGTTGTATTTCAGTTTTGGCATGAAGAATGAAGAATAAAGATGATTGTGCGCTGGAATAGATATGCTAATAAATACTAAATAGAAGCGGTGCATCAATAGACGGAAATTAGTTCGCTCTGGACTGGTGCCATACGCTTTGACTACGTCACTGAACTAGACTTACTGGTATGCACTTCCGGCGCTTATTTTTACGATAATACTCGCTTAATTTGAGTAATGATATCACTGCCTCAGATGTAGCTCGGCTAACTTGAAATGGTTAAGCCGTCGTTGAAATGGTAATAGGGCCTAACAAAGTCAACCCAGCACGGATTGCGAGAAACCTTGATAAGTAGAGCTTAGGAGGAACAAGTGAATCCTCAAAGCTCACAAGAGCGCTTGGGCAAGTAAGACAGTTGCGCGAAACTCTGGACACACCTAGTGGATATTATTCTAAAAGTCTCGTACAACTAAAACAGTTCTCTGAGAGATTTAGAATAATCAAAATTAATATATCTTTATTAGCCAAAGTGATTTGGAACAATTAAGTTAATCGTTGTAGGAATTCTAATTTAATAAGGTTTCAAAGGTGTGTCCAGAGTTTTGCTCAACTATCCTACGCTAGTAGGGTTGTTACCCGTAAATTTAGATAAATTATAAATAATTAAAAAACCTCTAAATTAGCGTAAATAAAGATTTAGCCACTAAATTTAGATCTTGGTATAAACTTTAGGGTAGAGTGTGTGCCGTACTGTCTAAGACAGTAGCACGTGACCGCCCTCCTTTCCACCCAAGACCTGTTTGTACCGACAAGAAGAATCACATCAATTGTCCTAGAAATATAGCACAATCAAGGGCTATTCACTCTTACGCCGAACAATTTGAACAAAGATAATCACCACCAATAATAAAGTAACTTGAATTTAACAAACATGTAGGATGTCCCAATAATAGCTACTGCGGTAGGGATTGGGGCGTAGAACCTGAGAGTGACGATGATCTCGTTTCATTGGGTTGAAGATACTAAATAGCTAAAGCTTTGATAGAATCTCGAGACTAACAACAAATCTCTCAGTAAGGATTCCTCCTATCTCAGGAAATCTTTGTGTATTTCTCCCTCTCTCCCAGAGAGGTACAGTTAAAAAGAAATGTGGGCTCGAAGTGGAGTGAAAGTGACCACATTCATAACATTTTGCCAGTAAAAGAAAGCGGTTTGGCTAAGTCTCGGGTTCCTAGAATTCGAGCCCCAATCCGATCCTGTTATCGCCTCCACTTGGAGTGCACCTGTTTTTGTAGCCTTTCCAGGGTGGAAGCGATAGATATGTAAATTCTAGCGGAATGCATATATATTGCGAAGCCTAATCAATGAATCAGATTGATGGTGACGAAATCACAACTCATCGTCGGAGTAATTTAATTCCTATATATATATGGCGTCATTTGCCCAACAATGGGACTTTTAGGACCTAGCCCACGCGAGTTAGATTCCGCCTGACGTTAAATAGTAATAAATAAATATATGTCTAATCTGACGGCAGAACATCCCTACATTTAAGGGGAGTATAAAAGCTTTGGAGGGCCTTAACTATTCATCAATTCGTCATTTGGTTTTCGACCTGATTCGCAGATGACCTTCGGAATAAGTAACAACTAAAACCACTCATATGTATGAACATTATGAACCTCTGTGACTAAAAGGCGCACCAACCCGCCCAATCAAGATAGTGTAAAGAACCAAAAGCCTCCCCACCATCACCAAATAATTCAGGAGGAAGCGTCCCACCCCCGATCACTAGAAGTAAGATATTATATACAAAAGTTGAAACAAAGCATTACATCAAACATCAAATCCAGACTTCAACCCCCCAGGATTCTCCTGCTTACTCTTCCTCGACGAAGAAACCAATCTCGTATCACCAGCACCACCCGTAACCCCCGTAACATTCCCCATAGGACTAAGAGTCGGAGCACTTTTCCCATGTTGAGCATGAATGCTCTGCAGCCGATGCTGCGGCTCATCAATCCGCTCAAAGCGCGCAGAACTTCCTCCTGTTCGAGAGCCTTTGGTAGTTTCGCCCTTGACCCACCGTCCTCCCCGTAACAATGGTCCAACTAGTGGCCCGCAGGCTACTGTGATGCCCACAGCGGGTTCCAGGAAACTCCAGAGTAGAGGTGGGGCTGCTGAGTATGTCACGTCTTGGTCTACACGAACAAGCGTCATGACCCTAAGGATACAAATAATGACAGTACTAGAAACACTTGATCAGCAAAAGCTTCATGTCAAAGAAATGGCGAGAATTACCTTAGTCCGAGTCCAAAAACACCCGATAATGCCACCTTATTGTCTTTTGAGATCTGCAGACGCCAGATTATAGGAATAGGAAGCATGAATACAATAACATCGGTGATTAGATCGACCGTGCCTATAGTAGTAAATGCCGCTCTCTGATTTCCACACTTGCCACCAATTATAGTAGGGTCCCAGTAGAAGGGAAGCGGAGTACAAATAAGAAAGAAAGCCATGATAGTGGCAATCATCCAGGTGAGAATGATACCGATTGCTGTTCGACTTGCCACAGCGAAGCCGTTGGTGAAAAATATTCTGGTGTAGAAAAGACAGATAGAGATCTTGACGAGGGAGACTGTCACTGTATGTGTAACTCTAATCGCTAAGAGAATCTAGAATGCTGTCAATTATGATAGACATGGAGAGAATTGACCGATATCAAACTTACTTTTACGAACGTGGGAACCATAGATTCTGGTAAATCGTATGTATGATGACCTACACCCCCAAAGAATATTGCTATTGAAAGTCAGCTGCTATCTTGAGAACCTACACATATTTATCATTGTACTTACCCATTATTGATAACACTATCAAAACATATAGGAAAAACTACTCCTGTAAGTTGGGGATCATCAATCGTTACAAAACAAACTTACCTGGGCCAGGAAAATGGTATAGTCCTCTCCAGTCAATTGTTGTCGATTCTTCCTCTTTGCGACCAACCGAAGAATAATAGATGCAGTTGTGGTAACTGCGAATATAATGGAAAGGCATAGTAATGCGTTGGCCCATCCATTGGATAGGCTAAGGCCCTGTGTCTCAACCATATTTCAAAGAGGTGTTTGTAGCATAAAAATAATAAAACTGAAGGCCCACAGGTGTCAGTGGAGGAAGAAAATAAAACGTAACTGTACAATAGGTTTGTAAGAATAAGTAGAGTAAAATTAACTTACTCACGACAAAAACTCGATCAATATTTGCTACTACGAGGAACAGGTCATGGAATGTGCTGAGAACGTTTGGAGGAAAGAAAAACGTAAGCATGCATGTACGAGCCTTGCTGTTTGCTCCTTAAAACACTCAGTCAAGGTAACACAAGCTTTTTTCGACCAATCGAAAGTAAGAAGAAAAGTTGTACTTCAAACTGGAAGTAAAGTCGTGAGGTTTGAGGAAGCTTTTGTATTGAAACGAAGATTGTGAGAAATCCATTCTTTCTAATGAAATATATTCTATAAGAGTTGTTGGAATCGTGGTTCACGGCAGCCAAATTGCGCCATCCTTCGTAAACCCACGAGGGCGAGCTCAGTGAGCTTGCCTAGAAGAGAAGGAAACTGCGAGCAAGGGAAAATCAACATGCACCTCACTGGCCCACACGACTACCCTGCACGGACCACACTAACATCCGGTGCCAGATATGGTACTTGAGAGAGAGAGAGTTGTATATATGTATCGTGTGAGGCAATTTGGTTTCAACTACTCACAAGATACGTAATTGAGGATCTATCGAAAATTAGAGCCAAAACATATTGAAAACAAAGCCTTGTGGATATTGAAAATGAATATGCTATATTCTTGAAATGGAGTGGGTGAGAAGAAAATTTCCAGTTAAATCAGGTTTTCCATCAAGACTCGTGGGATTCGGCAATAATGCGTAACCATGTACATACATGTACAAAATGAGACCTGAGGGGGGTAGCATTACCAAGACTCCAGACAGCGGTTTGATGAGGAGGTTATGGTTTCGACACAACAAGTCATGTAAACCACAGGTTCCCAGACCTTAGGATGTGATGCACCTGCCCCGAATGTGCTGGGCAAGTGCATTACAAGCTGGTGACGGCGATGGCGATGCAGTAGGGTATCTGAATTTCTGAACTTCCAGCAGCCGATCAACGATGGAAGCTCACGACCAGGCATGAAAACCGGCACAATGATGGAACTTCTTGTTGCCATCAAAGTGATGATATGAAAATTCATGGACAGTCTGGTTCGCGAGATGATGTGAGGAAGGAATGAGGTGGGAAAAATGGCAACCGAGTGACATGACTAAGCGAGGGTTCAAGCATCGCTATTGGTTAGAAATTACTCGGGGAAGGTAACAGGAGCCGATCCTTCAAATGTTTACTCGTACACTCACTCAACACGATCGTACCTTCCGAGGTCCAGGCTTCAAAGACTATGCAGGAATACCACCGTTCACACGGAGGTACCGTACCTCTGCAAGACGTCAAGATTCATCACATTATTGGGAAATCCGTCACTACTATACATATTCCTACCTCAAAATAACCCCATGTCTTTTTGTTTTGAGGCACTCTTCCCGACCGAGGTCCTTAGATATATCCTGAAAAACGCCTCTCCAAGGACTCTCCCACAAGCTGCATTGGTGTGCCGACGTTGGAATATCATTGCTACTATTTATCTACCGCTATGTATATCATTCCTCGCAATCCGATATCCCAATCCAAGCCGTCGATGGAAGGACCAACGAGAGATTTGCCTTTCCCGACTGGTCAAGTCCGAATCGACAAAGTATTGGTTCATACGGTCGACAGGAGCGGCGAAATGCCTCTGCCATCGTCAATTACGAAAGTTTTTTAAGGACAATGGAAGAATCTGAAGAACTCCGAGGTCTCGTGAAAGGCGTCAGCGTGTTCTGGGAACCTTGGTTCGGTAACTGTAGATTATTGGAGGTTCTTAGGTCATCGAATTTGAATATACATGTTTCTGCAACCGAGCTTTTCGTTTATGAGCCTTTCGCTGACCCCGAAGAACACCCAGAACTTTGCGTCCAGAAAAATATCACATCCCTTCATATCCTACAGGAGTATTACCCCTCTCTTTCAGAAGGGCTTTTGAACAACGGCGAAAGAAACATGATTTACGATCTCTGTGCAGTTCCAGAGCATTTGGAGAGCGTATCTATCGCTGGCAAACGAGGTTGGGCGGAGTTTGGTGATGAGTTTAGGCCTCTTGGAAATGGTCCAGATGGGAGAATGGAGAAGACTCTGGGTCTCACTTGCCTCTCATTGACCAACAGCAGTGCACCCAGCGACGACTTGTACGAGCTTCTCACCTGGCCCAAAGCATTAAAGTCTTTTCATTTCGAGATTGATCGTCTTGACACAGATGGATCGGAATACAGGTACCACAATAGCGAGGCGGATAAATTCATGCTTCTTGAGTTTCAGATGGCTCTCTACGATACACATTCCGACACACTCGAAGAGCTTTTCGTCTTTGGGGAAGATTGTATCCTCATTTACAACATTGAAGATTTTACCGAAGTTAGCTGTTACCCTGGACAAACATTGGACCTGCACAATTTTCCACGGCTTAAACGACTTGGACTTCCTGTGACGTGGTTGTCTTCTCCCAAAAGCCTTCTCAGATATCATTCAGGCGACGAGATACACCCACTGCATATGTCCCAGATACTTCCTCCGAACCTTGAAGAACTTCAGATTGGATTTTCAGGCGGTCGACTCAATGAGTACATTGATGACATCTTTCCGTTCGCTAAGCCACCGAAAGTCCCTACAGTTTCGCATGTGAAAACCGTGTATTTTCCAATGCCTGGTGAACTAATCCAGGTTCTCAAAGGGGTTTGCCAAGGGCGGGCACGCTATCCGAAGTTGAGAGAGGTGGTTTTATGGCATGTTTGTCCACTGGTCGATGAGTGCTGCGACTTGAGTGATGTTGAATACTGGCCGCAGCTAGTAAGGTTCTACCGGGCTTCAAAGATCAAGTTGTACTCCGTCTGTAACAACGAACCACCATTGTTCAGTGGGTGAGCGCATCCTTGCTTGGAGTTATCATCACTCATACCTGTATCTTCCACAACACATGGGTTCCGTAGCGGTTGATTGAGGGATTCTGGTTCATCTTGGTTCAAATGAGCGTAGCCTACCACAAAAAGAAAATCCTTTCAAGTCTCAAGTCTCGATAACTTGCGCTTTTTGTTTCTCTCACTTGTTGATATATCTCGAACACTTCTGTTTTCACTTCATACAGCAGCCTACCTACCAGTAAACCTCAGATTTCACAACAGGGACGTCAGAGACGACCTTTTGTCCATACATAACTACCTACGTTCACCCTGTAGCATTGCTATACAAAAGTTGACAAACGCACCACGCAAAACCCAGCAGCACCTCCAACCCGAACCCCAACCCCAACCTCAACCGTATTTCAATCCTCACACCCCTCAACGAAACCGAGAATAAAACCCACCAAACATCCTAAGCCCAAGAGTAATATCACCACCAGATTAGACCTTCCCAATAATTCAAAACTAATAACTACTCTGCCATCCCAAGTATACCCAATCTCCAATCCCCAATCTCCAGTCCCCAAAAATCTTCCACCTAACCCAGCGTCTAGAAATCGAGTAGTGGAGCTAAGTAGTAGTACCTACTCTATCTAATCAACTCGAGTCCTCGAGTAGAGTTAAGTAATTGAGTCCTGTGTTTCAAACGCTGCTAAACCAATAACCACCCAGTTATCAAGATAGATAGGTAGTATCAACAAGACCAACATCCTCAAATCCCACTAAAGAACAGTGAAAATACCAATACCCCACTCTACAGATTACCTAATTAGTAGTTAGCGCTTACCTCTCGTCTACTACAACATACCTCACCTCCCGGTGGACAAGAAAAGTGGCAGAGATCTCCTTTATCTTATCCTAACTTAACTAAAAACCACTATATTATATTATCTATTTAGAATAATTAAAATGATTTATCGAAAACGATAGCATAATAAGGGCAATTGTTCTAGATATTTTAAATATTTTAGTACTTGGAATTAACTTACGCTAATAGTTAAAAAAATGAATCTCGGCTACTTTTCTCGTCCAACGGGAGCTCACGCACCTCACCCCCACCTTAATCTCCACAACTTAACACTACTACTACCTAAAACCACTCTCTACCCCTCATCCCTCATCCAACCCCCCCCAAAAAACCACAGAACTCCACTATCATCCCCCCTCTCCCTCCCTCTTCCAAAATCCAAAACAGCCAACAAATAAACCCCAAAGCCCAAAGCCCAAAGCCCAAACCCTAATAGTCCGGATATCCACTTCCCTCGCACACTTCACCTTCATCTCTACAACCTAGTACAACTTACTGTACAGTACCAGCCAAAACGATTTCCATCCCTTATTCGGAGATTTCCTAATTTATCAAGAAACTATTAAGTAAGCTTCCCTCTATCCGGATATCTACTTACTTTAAAGGGTCAGGGTTGAAGATAGGTGATGTACTGGGTGTACTCTTACCCCCCCCCCANAAAGCTTTTCTCTCCTCTTCTACTCTTACTCTTAAAAAGGGGTTGAAAGAGAGGGAGAAAAGAAAAAAGAAGAAAAACAAGAACACATCCAATGACCATATTCATAATAAAAAGAATTACAATATATATATGTATGACAAACAAGACACACAAAAAAAAGATCTTCAATTACTGTATCATATCGCTCACTAATTTATTTCCCCCACTCACTCACTTGTTCCCCCCCCTCTATTCCCCTATCAGAGTCAAGGCAACCCAAGCCCTAAGAAACAACAACTACATCTCTTTTAAAAATCCCATCCTGACCGAAAAGCAGAAGAAATTGCCTTTCCCCTTTCCCATTTCCCCCTAGCCCCCATCTAGTGACTTAATCCGTAACCCTCCAAGCATCAAACCACTTCAAGTAAGAATACTGCCGATTCGGCCCCACCATGCCCCAAGAAATCGGCATGAACAAAACATACAAGCCCACCGTCACGGCATACAACGCCCCATAGACAACATACTGCACCGGCTTAACCTGATACCTCGTCATCCAATCGACCACGAAGCCAAAGGCGAGGATGGCAAAGTAGAGCGCGGGGTAGTAGTGATGCACGTACGTCACACGCGCCATCGCAACAAAAGGAATGTAGTGCAGAACCCATCCGAGGATAGGGTAGAGAGCTGCGTAGTGGATTTGATCGATATCACTCTGTTTGAGTTCATCGTAGCCTCGTTGCCAGCGGATGAGGTACCAGAGGACCATGAGGCCGACCATGCCGAGGGAGGCAGTGGATCCCCAGTAGACGAGGGGGTTACCGAGGAGGAAGTATTTTACGATTGAATCGTCCCATCCACACATCCTCAGACCAACATTCAGAATTGGCCATTGCCAGAATTGAGAGGCGAGATCATCTTGTTTATCCGGATCAGGGACGAGAGCATTATTAGATGTCATCATAGCAACATTAAGATGAATGAAATCTTGTAAGAAAGGAGATTTATATGCTCCAGCATCGGCAGCAGGAACTATTAAATATTAGCATGCATGCAATATCATGGAATTGCAAATTACTTACGCTTATCATTCCAATGAGCCTCCACGTTCCAATGGGTGTAAACATCTTTTGGTCTGTTGTCCTTAACACATGTGACTTCGATTTGCTTGAAACCCCATTGTGGCAAGTTGACATTACCAGCTCTAAGATAACATCCAAGAGCAGTATGTCTAAGTCTGAAAGCGGTAGTCAAAGTTCGAAGCTTGGTACGGTCATTTGACGCAACATCCTTGACAACTTCAACAGTCCAGTGGTCTTTCTCATCTCCAACGGTAGTATTTCCGTAACATGAAACTTCACGATCAGCTTTGGTGACTGGAGCAGCGACTTCATGAGAATGGAGGTTACGGCCAGTTTGAGAGTGAATCAATCGAATGACATCTTTATCGGCGACATATTTGAGTTCGCCCTCTGGGTTGTACTCTGGTTGTTCACGGTTTGGGTAAAACCACCATTCGTTGTTGGAGTCCTTGTGGTGATAACATGTGATTTGTTGTTGAGTTGAGCCTTCAGGGTAGGTTTGAACGTGAGAATGAAGTAATCCACCACCATAACCCATATTCTTGATAGTTGCTCGAGAACCGTAGGCAATTTCAAGAGGACTGTCCTTTCCGACCTCGGTACCTCTGAGATTGGCTTGGAAAAGAGAGCTCATCTGAGCATCACCTGGACCACTGTTTTCCAGAATAAGGAAATGAATGGCAAATGAAAGCATGTAGACAATGATTGGAATGACAATCAAACCAAGAATTCTAGCAGCCAAATGAGTAGCAAGATCAAGCTAAAATCCGGTTAGTTCTCGATCAACCAAAATATTCCAAACTACATACCTTTGGCATCTTAGTATCACCAAATTTGTTCCATAAATCCTCAACGGTATAGATACCAACCATAGCTGTAACGAAGAAACCAACCCATTTAACACTGCAAACACACCCGATACTCATTCCAGTCAAGACCAACCAGAGGAACCATTCCGGGCTGAAGCTTTGCTTTTGCAGACGATGAAATCTAGCCCAGCACAAGACAGTCGTAAAAGTAAAGCACAAGAGCATGGAATCCAGGAGAATAAATCGAGAAATGGTGGTGTACGAGTTTTCGCAAAGAACCATCAGTGTAACGAACCACACAGCGGGTCTCTTGAAGTTCAATTCACGAGCGGTAAAGTAGGCCATGGGAATGCAGACGGCGCCGAAAAAGGCGTTGAAAGCTCGCATAAAAGTGTAGTTGACCTCTTCTGGGTATTTCTCGCCAGACTTGAATTCGAACGAACCATTGTATCCTGCCAGGTATCCGGACAATCCAACGAGCATCTTTCCGAGAGGAGGGTGGACATCGAAGTAGAATTCGCGCTTGAGGTAATGGGAACCGAATTTACCAAAACTATACATCTGCTATTAGTATTTTGCCAAGGTAAGGCTGAGAGACAAGGGGAATTCATACTGAGCTTCATCCCACGTTACAATTGGGGAAAGTCCGATCTTGTATAACCTCGTAAAGAAAGCAAGGATTGTGAAAAGAAGTGGCGCGATGAGGAATTCCCACTCGTCCAGGAATTGGATAAATGTTTGTTCCTTCTGTAGGTGCCCCTGTTAGTATGATGTTTGCCAATCAGGGCTCTGCAGTAGCTCTGGAAAAGTTGCCAGGACTTGCTATGTGATGGCATACCTTCTTAATCTGGGTCTTCTTCTCATCCAGCTCTACTCTCTCTGCGACTTCCCCATTTGATATTGAAGGAACATTTCGACGGCGAGTAGCGTTATCAAAGTCCGCACCTGTCGCAACACCCTGCTCCATGGTAGCCATGTTGGCACAGCGTCAATCAGACACTAAATAGATTGAAAATCCTCGTAATCGAATCCGCAGATGTTATAAAATCAGTTTACTCCGAGTCTCTCTCTTCGTCAAAGTGGACGGGATTCGGATTCGTATGGTGGTTCGACAGGGGAGAAAATGGTCTGGTATGGTATGGCAGATATCCGTCGTGTGGAAAGGGAAGAAAAGAGAATTACAAAAGAATGCTAATTGACAAAGTTGACCATCTCCGCAGAAGAGTAGTACAACGGTCGGAGTGGAAGACAGATCTTCTGTCGCGGTGTACTGCGAAGACCAGATATCTTTCTGTAGAAGAAAGGGATGGGATGGGATGAGAGGTGGATGGGAGTACGGTAGCTGGTCCCAAAAAAGTACGGGTAGCGTAGCGAGGGCGAGGGTAGCATGAGCTTGGACAAATTTAGCACGCTGTACCTCCTCCCATTTCCTAAGCCACACTCCCCGCTTTACTCAAGCCACCCCCTCCGCCTGAGCCATCAGGCCATACAGCACCATAAGGCTCCAAAGCTACGCTTCACTCCCGTCATCTTCTCTCTTCACCACCAAACTTGACAGCGGCGCCAGTTTGAACGCAAAGACTGTGCGGGCCATGCCATGACACCCGTTACGAGTAAAAAACTACTCGGTACCAGTACCAGTCTACCATCCCAAACCAAACTCTATTCTATTTATTCACTTATTGATATACAAGAAAACCCTCTCCAACACAAATAATTCCGTTACGTCCACCTAAGCTTCACTCATCCCAGTCATCACATCCTTCCGTCGACCTCTAGGCGTCATCCAGGTGTCATTAGCGAGAAGACTAAAGAACAGATCTTCCGCATCCTACATCCTACCCACCAACCAATCGTAGCCACTCGTTAGCGTAGCCCAGCCGACCAACCGAACGACCCCCTTGCAATTGGGGGCTAAGAAAAAAAGGAAAATGCGGCGTGAGGCTGACGGATGGAAATTAACAACACATTGCGGACTTAACACCTATCCCCAAGGGCGCTCTTCTTCCCATTACGAGTACAAAAAAAGGGGTAAGTTGTCATACTGAATTTCCATCAGTACTCAATCAAAGGGTATTCAGAATCTAAGGTACGGTAACCTAACCCAGTGAATGAGTTAAATACCTATACCTCTTCGCTCATCTCAGCCTTGTATAACTCAACTAGCGTACTCGTATGAAAAACTAAATCATTTACTTGTACTCGAGTAGGTAGACTTATGTACTAGAGTAATACTAAAGTGACTGAAGTGAGTACCGTATGAATTTTGCTATATTCAAGGATTTTCATATGCATTTCTATCATTCTCATCTCCATCTTTATTCATCCCCATCTCTTTATACAACACAAGAGAGACAAGAACCAGAAACCCAGATCCTCTCTTCTCAAAGTAAACAAAACTCAAGAAAAAAAAGTCCCATTACGCCCGTCCCGCCCTGCCCCCTCGGCTTTCTAGTAAACACCATCAAATCACCACACTGTATCCAAACCAAAAAAGAGAAAGAAAAAAAATCACAAGAAAGAAAAAGACCATCCCATTTATCCATCTAACCTCACGCCGTCACCCACCCATCACCATCTTTCTTTCGTTGCCCAAGAAGTAAAACAGAGATCAAAATAAAAAATAAACAATCAAACAAGTGAACCAAAAAAAAACAACACTCAATTGATCTCTCTCTGACTCCTCTACTCATCCTCTTGATCCAGAGGCTTATAACTCCCACTACGTATACTATCCCCATCCCCACCGCCTTGTCTCGAAACCATCCTACTGATCCACCCACCCACGCCCTCACTCCTCGGCGTCCCATCATCATTCATAGAAGCCGCGTATTGGGGCTTCCCATTTCGGATTGCCACATGCGGTGGATCGATATCCAACCCGGGAATCGCACTCGATGGTCCAATTCCATTCCCAAGACTACCACTCGCCATGCCCCTTCTCAGATCCATGGATGGAACGGGCGAGGAGACACCAAGTAGGGAACCGGTCTCGGCTCGGGTGATGGGCGTGGGCATGGCGGTTGTTGCGTCCCCGAAGAGGGTGTCCATATCTTCGAGACGTACGCCTGCGGTTTCGGGGTAGATGAAGTACACTGTTCTAATTAGCATAACAAAATCAGAAGAATGATATGAAAATCACTTACCAACAACGAAACTCGTAGCGCAAAAGAATGCATGGACAAGGTAAAGACGCCACTCGATCCATTCCTGAAGAATAGGTGTCATTTCCCCCACCAACCAATTGAACGCCCAGTTCGTAGCCGTGGACAAACTAGCTCCCTTTGAACGAATACTGAGAGGTAAAATCTCAGGAGGATACAACCAAGGAATTGGTCCCCAACTGAATCCAAACGCGGCGTTGTATATCATGACCATAATTACAACCATAGTTGGCGTTGCTGGTATTTCCAAGAAGAGGAAGTACGAGATGGCAGAGAGTGACAAGACCATTGCGATGGCACCACTGAGAAGGATAAATCTTCGACCCCATCGATCCACCAAATACCAAGGAGGTACTGTTGACATGAGATACGTGATAGCGTTAATGCCAGTCATGAGAATGGCATCTCTACCACGCCAGCCGGCAGATTCAAACACAAGTGGCGCGTAATACGAAATTACATTAATTCCGTTCAACTGGGCAAAGGCTTGGGCAGACATGGCAATGAAGACACGAGTACGATATCTCCGGAACATATCTCGGTATGATTTCTCTCCTTCTTGTCGTTGGAGCAGAACATTCATCTTGATCTCACGGTATTCCTCTCTTGCTTTTGGATCATGGATATCTCCTCCTCCATAGAGATTTGCAATGACAACAATACCTTCTTCATCATGATCGTTGTCCAAGAGCCATCTGAAAATATTAGTTAAAAATACCAATGAATCGAAAACTTAAATTACCTTGGTGATTCCACAATAAGCAAACTACCGATACCGAGTAGAGCTCCCATGACACACTGCATCAACAATGGGATTCTCCAAGAATAATCGCTGTTGATAAAACTGCAAAAGTAATCGACCCATACGGATGTAGCGTAGCCGATAATGTTTCCGGAAAATTCAATACATGCAAGCTTGCCACGATTGTGAGGTGGGGAAATCTCGGATTGGTATACAGGGACAATAGTCGAAAGCATACCAACACCCACTCCGGCAATCAGTCTACCAACCATCATCATTGGCATTCCAGTCGCAAATGTTTGGAGAGCACCTCCAACTAAAAATATCATGGATCCGTAGAGAATGGTTTTCCGTCTTCCTATAATATCCCCGATTCGACCAACGGTAAGGGATGAAGCAAAGGCCCCGACTTCCAGAATAGCAACCATGGTAGCGAGTTCTGCTCTGGAAGGGTGATTAAAGTAATCCTTGAAGAAAGGGCCTCTGAAGGAAACATATTAGAGCTAAAGCTAAATCTAACCGGTTGGTAGGGTTCAAACATACGTGAGAATACCGGACATAACTCCCTGATCATATCCAAAGAGGAAAACGCCTAATGATACAAATATACTGGTAAAATACCTGGCCGTACGGTTAGTTTGACGTTGAGATTTACAGAATACAATTCCTACACTAATGCCTTGCCCGTCAGGCCATGCATCTGTCTTTCTCCCCCCGACATGACGGCGGCTATCCAATGTTCCGCGTTACTAATATGTCGTGGTGCCGGACTGGGAATCTCAATCTCCTCCTTAACGAATCCAGATTGGTGGTGTTTTTCTTCACCGTGATCGACGTCTTCGGAATAATGCACCTTCTTATGGCGAGCCGGTCTTCTCGAAGAACCACCAAATACCTGATCGTCTAGCGATGCTCGTAGCCTTATCTGCAGAGGATCCTCCGCGTCTGCCAGCTGTTCTGCAAGATCTCCTGTATCGCTCCAGGAAAAGTCCGAATCGGAGGAAGACCGCGATAGGGAAGAGCGGCGGCCCTGCTTCTCTTCCAAATGTCCTCCCAACAGCGAGGCGGTATGGGAATCAGATTGGGACGGTTGTGATGCTAAAGTTCTGAGGGGGATATTCGCAGGGCGACGAGAAGATGTGTTGGAAGAAATGATGACGGTCGCGGAGCTGTTTGGCAGCAGCCCCGATCTGCGTGTGGGAGAAGTGGGAAGGGGAAAGGGAAGGGGAGGGGAGGGAAGCTAGCTGCTGGTTGGAATGAAGATGGGGGAGTAGGGGGAATAATGCGGAGGTGGAGGTGCGAGGTGCGGTGACAGCTTGGAAGTGGATTGAATGCGTGTTGGGGATGGGCCAGGGCAGGCACGGTAGCGTGAAAGTGGATACTTTTTTTTTTTGCAGGTGGTCAGTCGGGGTTGTCCAGGTGTGCTGTCAGAGGCCTGGCAGTGTGATGCAATCCGCTGCAATCCAGGGTCTCAGGGCATCAACTCCCGGGTTACACTCTGTCGGCGCCGGGGAAGAGAGTCAGTCGCGGGTGCACCAAAATACATCTACCAGTATCAGTTTGCGTCGACGTCTGGTCTGGTCGAGTCTCTGGGCTCCCCAGCGGGTGGACAGAAGTCGGAGGGTGGTGGGACGGTGAAGAAGTCAACTCGCATACGCCGGCACTGCTGGATTGGGGGGGACACTGGAGGGGGTGCCACGGGGACTTGGGGGGGGGCGCTCAGGCTGTCGAGGTCGCGTGTGATGGGGCCAAGTAGGGTACAGACGAGGGAAGCGTGAGTGTGACCGCAACACGATGTGATGTCGTTACGAGAGGAGGTCAAGGTTACCGCTGGGCAAAGATGGGCGAGAACGGGGTCGGTAACTTTGGTCGCACGCTGCGATGTGTAGAGATGTGTTTGGTTGAGCTGGTCCAGATGATGGGGATACGGCTAGTTGTAGACATTCAGGGGAAATACTCGCTTTCCAGCTCGCCTGTCCCAGCCTAGTCCCAAGGTTCTAAATTGGTTGCTATGACACACGTGACCGTCATTTTCTTATATAAACAGAGAAGGCCCTTGCTTACTTATTCTACACTTACCTAGATTCAGAGTCTAGAGAACCCAAAAATCCAAGAGTGAAGCTCACCAGAATTCCATATCACTACCTACCTACTTACCTACCGATTTGTGCCCCCCCCCTCCCCTTTAACCCTCCCTCCCACACCCCTTCCCACGCCTACTTCACACCAGATACACTCAATCTGCAAGGAACTAACTAATCGGTCGTTACCGACATCAGATCTCAACTTGACCTCGAAGAACTACTTCACAGTACTTTCAAAGATCTTCTTCCTACTGCCTCATTCAAGGTTTCAATGAGATAATGGAAACTTCAAACGAAATAAAAACTCTGCTCAAAAATTGGGTAACCCATTCTATTACCTTATTGTAGACATCCCACGAAGCGTCCCCCCTCCCCCCCCCTCATAACCCCC